CTGACCGGGCTCTCAGCGTGGGGCATCGGCTGTGGCACTAAAGATGTACCCGCAGTCTACGCGTCCGCACCTGCTTTCCGTCGGTGGGTAGACGAGAAAATGCAGGAGTGGGGGTACGACACACAGGTCTACACAATCTGAGATTAGTATGTGATTGAACTCTTTTTTAATTATTTTTAATAAAATTTTGAAGGTATTTGTGGTTTTATTTGTGGCGGGAGTAAAATTTAAAAAATAAATATCCTTATCTACAAAATAATTAAGCAAAACTAAAGAAAACTCCAAAAAATTTAATCTTTTCCTAGACATTATTTACTAGCGACCCGCCCCGGCTTCGCATGGGTGCTAAGTATCTATGTTACGGTCAAAGTGATAAATGTGAAAATTATGAATAATCGCCGGTTATTATGAATAATTACCGCATGATTTGGTAAATGTGATTAATATGAGGTCATTTATGTGTGTATAAAACTAAATAGGCGGCTTAGGGGTGGCCCAAGGGCCACCCCTAAGCCGCCTATTACCTTAACCTACTTTTCACTTTAAATCAAAACATTATGATAGGCATCATGAAAAAGTAATATTATGCAAGAAACATTCCAAACTCATTATGCCAAATTATATTAATACATGATATTATCAAAACGTTCAAAAGTTTGGCTGTACACGAGCACGTACACAAGATGTTGTTCTCTTTTATGAAATTTGTTAGTACTAAGGTTGAATTATTAAATAATCACTGTTAAGGTAAACGGCTACTAGTTCGTGATAGTACGTAAGTTCGTAAGTTTTTTTTCTAGCTCAAATAATAAGCAAATGGAATATTATTTATAAAAATTCTTCATTACTGCAAAAACTCTATTATTTAAGCTATCTAAAAAACCAAGTACGAGCATTGTGGCGCCAAAAATGAGAGTAATACGAAGCTTCAAACTCTCAGAGAGCCAAAAACAGCCGTGCGGCTTGCAAAGGTTGCTCTCACCGTAAGGTTAGCGCTCCAACTTCTTAAGCTTATAAAAAGGCGAAGGAACGTCCATTAAAATAAAACTTGTAATAGTGGTTTCATGTGTTCCTTGACAATTGATTTGGCTTAGAAAAAAGTTATATGAAAACGTAGAATTCCTTTAAAATTGCGATTAATTGACTCACGAAATAGCGTACATATTATTTTTCGCCTCACTTGAAACAGCTCCAGAGGTGGGATTATGGGGAGAAGGGGGGGGTAGAAATCAAAATTTGATGGGTACGAAGGGGGGGGGGGTAAGTCCCCCCCCCCTCTATATTTCTAATGGTTATATAAATATTTTTACATATCGCTAGAAATAACAAATCAAAATTTTATGGGTACGGGGGTTCGGGTTAAGTCCCCCCCCCCTCTATATTTCTAATGGTTATAATTATAAATATTTTCATATAATTATAAATGTTACAATTAACAAATCAAAATATTATACTACACACATTATTTCTTATGAATATTTCAGGTAAGTAATATCGTCAATTTTACATAATTATTTTATTGTACATTTTTATTATCGTTTTTAAATTTATTAAACCCTTAATCATTATTAAAATATCCTAACACATACACACTAAACATGAGTTCACGAACTTAGAAACAGAGCAAAATTTTGTCACGAAACAGGATCCAAACAAGAGGTCCGCAGAACAATTAATATAAAAAAAAGTTCAAACTATATAACTATAAATTATGTATTATATTAACTTACTGTCAAAAGACCAAAGTTTAGCATAGAAAAGCTTTCATACTGATATCATGCTTGGTTATTTTAAAATAAAATGTTAAAGTCGTAAGAGCCTTAATATACCGAAGTAGGGGGCACTTACCTTAAATGTGATTAATTTATCACTTTTACCGCGACTGTCGGTAATTATTAATAATAACCGGTTATTATTAATAATTTTCAATTTATCACATTAACCGTAACATTATAAATGCGAAACTAATATTATAAATGCGAAAGTAACTCTATCTGTCTCGCTTTCACGCCTAAACCACTGAACCGATTTTGATGAAATTTGGCAGGGAGATAGTTTGAGTCCAGGGAAAGGACATAGGATAGTTTTTATCCCGGTTTTTTAAACAGGGACGCCGCGATAAAGTTTTTCAACAGACAAAATTCCACGCGGGCGAAGCCGCGGGCGGAAATCTAGTACATAATAAACCTTCCTCTGGAATCACTTTATCTATTAAAAAAACGCATCAAAATCCGTTGCGTAGTTTTAAAGATCTAAGCATACCTACATAGGGACAGACAGCGGAAAGCGACTGTTATAAACTATTACCTACCTAATGATTTTATATTTTTAGGATCAAAAGCTACAAAAAACTATTTATGTGGTTGTATACCTACACAGAAATAGCGACCTTGTATGTATGTTAATAGCAAGTAAAAATTTTTCTTCAATTTATTCAACCAGTCTACAATTTGGTCCATGTGTTCTATAGAATTGGGTAATAAAACCTTGATGACATTCAGTAATGTTTATTAAAATCGCTTAAAATTATTCTTACACTAACATTTAGACCGGTTATACTCGTAGTCTCAGAGAAAAATACATAAAATATTCTTAGTATAAATAGGTAATAACAAAAATAAACACTTTGGAATGTTCCTAAGAAGTTTTAAAAACTTATAAAATCATTTCTACGTACTAATATAGAATCTGTAATTTTTTGGATAATTTTAAGCATTTTCCACGTTTTTTTAAGATTATGGAAATTTTAAAAAAATACATTTAAACTTCTAAGTAGAGACAAGCTGCTCAAAATTTCAGTGAGGGTATTAATTGCTTGATGTATTGAAATCTCATAAATATAAAGTAGGCATTTACTTAGCAACACTGTTTCCCAATTCTCAAAAATCTTCTAATGTGAAATTCACCCTGCCAAGATACGGGCAAAACCTAGTATAAAACACCTATTACGTTACTACATTACTGCGATTTACAAATACTACAGTAAGGGAGCGCCCTAAATAGAATTTTAAAAATAATTCTGAATAGACCGTAGCAAATCCATACAAATTCCAGGAACTTTTCTTGAAGAGAGAGTCACGTGTTTTTCTATAAGGAAAAGCCGAATATTCTACCATCATTTCCATAAACAACAAGCAAAGTCGACCAGGCCCTCTTCATTGTTTAATTTTATTATTCGTTGTTTTAAAGAAACACAATCCGTGAAATTTTATGGTTCACTAAATTTTGCCTGTCTTTTCTGCTGTCATTTGTAGTCTTATGGGCTGTTACATAGAAGTGTTTGTAGACTTAAGGCACAGAATAAGTAATAGTACAGGTACAGAAGGATTACTCCGCAAGACGATTTAAATAAATGCGAGTCTTGCTACGACGCGATACAGTGGAATTCAGCTCGCACAGCACTACGTACCTACAATTTTATTAACCTACAAGTTTTGTCTCTTTCTATCGCGTGCCTCTGAACTCTTCTTACGCTGTTAGGGTTGCTGTCTAGTGAAAAAATAATTAATCTAGGTACTTATTTGTAATGAGGTACGTATGTAGGTAAGTATGCATTCATTATGGAAAACCTTGGGAGAGGCCTTTGTCCAGCAGTGGACGTCATTTGGCTGAAACGAACGAACGAATTCTGAGCAGTAGTCATGGTAGGTTAGGTTCCTATACTATCCTAAGAATTATTGATTACCTACATGGCCAACATACCTTTCAGCATCTTTGGGAAGCGAAAAAAAAGATAAATCCGGTAGATTTCTTTTCGAATTTTAACACCCGAACGCCGCACAATATTTCTTTCTCTTTATGTCCATTTTTAAATAATACTTCGATCATAGAATTATAATCATACTACAACGCACGCCAGCGTCCTGAGGGGCGCGCGCGTGACACTCGACTGATATAATACCCGCCGGCGGGGCGCTTCGCTGTAGGTAATTATCGGATGTACCGCGCGGAGTGAGCCAGGCCTGCTTAAGGACGTAGCACACTTATCAACCCGGAAAGGGATCGTAACCGTATCAACCCGAGAAGGTCAGTATTCCTTGTATGAAACTCCAAACTGCAACGGACACAATAATCACAGATCACAGAAACTAAAGGTAGATGTGACAAGGGGGCGGGGCCGGAGTCGCAGCAATATGCTCAAAAACAGAACACATTGCTTGTGAAAGCAATGACACAGCAATGATGACAGCAGCGACGTCATAATGTAAACAGTTTACATTGCTTGCGAAGTACTAAAGATGTTGAAGTTGAGTACTGATACCGCAGTGGATAATGAGCACATTATGATTACTTTGTGTGTGTGAATTTCTAATGCGACACTGAGTTTCGAACTCAGCGCATTAGTTGGCATCTCTCTAGTATTTAACTGCCTAAATAATAATAAAAACACAGAATGTACTTTTTTAAGTTGCCTCAAGACACTGAGAGATAAATAAGTAGTTAATATTATTCATGATAATTAATGATAAATCATGTATTTCCTCCGCCATTTTCCGCAGTTTGGCACCTCACGTCACGTCATTTTACCGAAGTCAGCCCTATAGCTTCGGCGCAGTGCCGATCACTGACGTTTGTCAACAAAATGGTGCTTGGCTCTTGAGACAGGCTAAATTACACCATATTGTTAATGACATTGAGCATATATTTTTTTAAATACCTTCGCGAAGTAAAACTTCTGTACGTAGTAGGTACTTATTATTATTCTGTGATACAGTGTTGATCCCTTTCCGAGTTGATAAGTCTGCTACTACTTTGGGATTTAAATAAAAGTGTTTATAGGCTTAAGTCTAGTCTTAAGACTTAATTTTGACGATGGTTAGTGCTGCATTACAATAAGTTTGATTACTTTGTAATAGTTAATAGAAACGTGTAGTCTTATGGGCAGTACATAGAAGTGTTTTTAGGCTTAAGTCTCCGATCTTAAGACTTGATTTTGACAGTGGTCAGTGCTGCACTACAGTTTGCCTTCTCCAGTTCCGCCTGCATTTGCTTCAGTCTTGCTCTCGCTAAGGACAAATTCGCGTTCGTAGCTCTCATGCTTTCCTGTGAAAAAAAGGTGAATGATGACCCTTGTCTTAATTCTAGTTTTGAATGCTAAGTAAATATGTTATTAAATTCAAAACTTGAGAAAAAATACTGGATCAATTTTATTCAAGAATTTTTTGTTCATATGCCTATTCTTTCTTAAAAGAAAAATTAGAGAAATAGATACAGCGGAAATATACCTACACATTAAAAGTAACACGAAAAGTAAGATGTCAAAAAAATCTGTTGGTCAAACGTTCATTGGCGTGCCGTTCTCTTGGCGAACGCTTCATGGGTAAAGTGATCTTTGGGCAAAAAGTTAATGGGTTAAAGATCATATTGGTCAGCAGTTCATTGATCAATTGATTGTTGGTGAACGGTTTCACAATCAGTTGCAGATTATCATCTTACTTTAACCCTTAATTCGACGACGTGCGATATACTTCCCATTGAACGAAAAAAAATATCCGTAAAAAAATTGAGCGTATATCTTGAACTCAAGGTGTTTATTTGCTCCCTGAACTATCTAACTATGCTGTCAAAAATCAGCAAGGCACCAATATCGATGAGACGCGAGAAATCTCCAATAATATGACGGGGAGGAAGGGCCCGCTATGCGGGCTCTCGGTAAATTGTATTTTATTCATTATTTTACGGCTTAATATTCTTGTAATATGATTAAAAACTATAGATAGGATACCTGCGAAGCTACTTACAATGTAGTTACTGTCATACAGAGTTTTGTTTTCGTTTTACGACACCTATAACTTGCATGTCCAGTATACTTCCCGTCGTCGAATTACTAGTAAAGTAACTTCTAAATACTATGTCCAGTATTCTTCCCGTTGCCAAATTATTAGAAAATTAACTTTTGTGGTTTTTGATAATAATATTTTAGGGATTCACACATAAAATGTTTTCTGCCTCACTATGTATCGTTTTTCAGAGTTTCAACTCTAAAAAACAAGCCTTAGTAGCATTGGTGCCGCCTAACACTACTCCTTTTCATATAGATACTGGTTTTTATCAGAAAATTCTTCTTCTCGTCCTGCTTTTCCATCAGTTCTTGCATAGAGCTCATGAATATAAACAGTTAAATCTTTAACTCTGTCTTACTCGAGGGAATAATGCCAGAGGCATGGAACAGAAGCGTGGTGGTACCCTTATTCAAGAAAGGGGATAACACTTTACTGAAGAATTATAGTCCCATCACGCTTCCGAGCCATATCTACAAGCTTTTATGCGAGGGATATTACATGCCGGTATCCGAGAAGTCTTGGTAACCACTAACCACATCCATACACTGCGGCAGGGTTATACAGAAGACCAAAGAGTATTACTTGCCATAACGCTTGGCGTACGTGGACTATGAGGAGGCTTTCGATTTGGTTGAAGCTTGAGCCGTGCTGTAGTCTTTCCAGAGAGCTTCCGTATTGACCCTTGGTGCTGAAGTGCTTGCGCAAAACGCCACCTTGATGGCGGTCCAAGTGCAGGAGAAGAAATCAGCAACAAGTCTAAGTGTGTTACCAGTAATCACATAATGGTACCTACTGAAAGGTTACTTCTCACAATAAGCCCTCTCTATATCACAGCATGACATGGAGAGGGCTGTGCTTGGTGTTTCTGTGCGACATCTAATGAGGAGATCCGTAAAAGAACTAAAATCACTGATATAGCCTTATGGATTAGCATGCTGAAGTGGCAATGGGCAGGGCGCACATCACGCAGAACTGATGGCTGATGGCTACAGCAAGGTTCTAGTATGGAGGCAACGTGCCGACAACCGCTGCGTGGAGGTCCACCCACAAGGTGGACAGATGCACCCATAAAGGTAGCAGGAAGGCGCAGGATACAGGACGACTTTCAGATTGGCCGGTTGTTAACCCACTTGCTAACCTGATAATCATTGGGGGAGGACAATGTTCATTAGTGGACGTCATAAAGCTGAAATTATGATAATAATAATTAATATTTTATTACGGAACCACTTGTTTCTTTTTTCTGTCTCTTCGACAATGGGAAGTATACTGGACATGGTTGGAGAGCGTCACTTTCTTGTGAACTTGGCAATGTCCAGTATACTGGACATAGGTTTTTCAGGAAACTGAAATAGTGAGATTTTTTTGGGTATTTTTTCTGGGGTCCCATACAAGCTAAGAAACGAAATCAGTAACTGTTTTATAAATTTAACTAAAAAAAAATTTCGTCGAATGAAGGGTTAATAAACGTCAAAAGACTCCAAACAAAAACTCTGGTTATGATTATAGTTAAGGTTAAAGCAAGGTGGAGCAGCTCTGCCTTAGATAAGAACTATCAGAATTGGCAGTCCGACAGGCTGTTATCACCTATAATGAGTTGCTACAAGGTATGGTATAAGAGTAAAGGTAAGGTAACAAACTGACCTGCACATTAAGGAGAGTCTTGTCAGCTCTCGCCAGCTTGTCCACCGACAGCTCAGTCGTGTGTCTGAACAGGCCTTCGATGCTCGCTCGTAAGGACACGTTGCATTCCCCTGAAAAGGCACGAAACTTTAATTTAAAGGGTCTAAATATCGTTATATCGTGAATCCGGGTGCCATGTATTTTTATGCCCGTATTCACAAACGTTACTATGAGGTCTCAAAGTGTGTATTCACAAACGATGCTTGCTTAAGTGAAGCAACAAATCGAACGCACAGCGTTGAATAGAGCTCCGTGATTGGTTTGTGTGTCATCCTGTGCGTCCACGCGCACTGTGAGACCTCATAGTAATATTTGTGAATACGTGAGTTTCTTCACGCTACTTCTTTATAGGTACGAGAACTCGAAAGCTAATGCGCTTTTTAAAGCCTATTTACAGAAAATAAATTACTTTTTAGTCAAAATTCCGGATATTTTAACTAATATTATAAAGAGGAAAGATTTGATTGTTTGTATTTTGTATTGAATAGACTCCGAAACTGATGGACCGATTTGAAAAATTATTTCAACATTACAATACATATACAATGTATAATCCTACCATAATAGAATCCAAGTTTTTTTTTGCTAAACATAGGTAGCAAAATATTTTCAAAAAGGTCGATGTAGGTACTGTGTCATAAATAAATTTGATATTTAAATTTTTCCGCAATAATTGACACTCCATGAAGTTCGCTGAGCCAGGTATTGTAAAATATTACAAATATTTATGTAAGACAAGTATTTATTGGCGGTACGAAGTTCGCCGGGTCATCTAGTTAATAATATTTCGCTAATGATAATTTCTACGAGCATTCAATACAGGTCGAGTGCGTGGGTAGTCCGGGATAGAACCTGCGATCGGTGCAATATCGATCGCAACGATTGCACATGCGCTTAAAACAGACTAATTTTGCTTGGAAACTGGGTACCTACAGCAGGGTTTCCCAAACTATAGGTCGCGACCCAGTGGTGGGTCGCGAGCGAACATTGAGTGGGCCCTGCCTGTAGAACGACACACCACCCTACCGATACAACCGCTGGGCAGCGGGCGAAATTTCCTATACTAGGTAGGTCCCGAGTTTGGGAACTTGTATTAGATGAGGCTTGTTCACCCGGAGACATCCCGTTTTTTGCAGGGTCCCGTTTAGTATAAAACACTTAGTTTTAATATTAATGTTTTTACACATAAAATCTCGTTTGTATCACGCAAAAACCGATCCGTTCGAATTTGTAATTCGAATAATTTCTAACACACATAATGTGTGTTCACACGCAGACCATTTTTGCGGGACCCTTTCTACATTACTGGATTCGCAACTGGATTGCCGCGGGAACGTGTAACTCAGCATCAAGCAATCTTATAAATAGATTCAAGCCTTTTAAAATAAACAAAAATTAATAAGTAGTTAAAAAACTAAAAACACGCTTTTAATTACTGCACTAAAAGGCCAGACTCCATCATCAGGACCCAGGACATCATCTAGCAATAAAGTGCCTGAAAAGATAAATCCAATAAACCCAAACTCCATGCGATTCCGCCATTTCGTTTAGGAATTCCTATGGCCATCAGTCCCATCATGAAACCAGCTCGATGGTACCATAATATAGTATTGTCATCTAATCTACAATAGGGATGTTTCCTGGGTAAAAAAGCAAGTTTTAATTAGTCCGTCAGTTAGCTTATCAAAAACTACTCGACACGTTATGTTTTACTTTTTAAAACTAATGAAAATGTAAACAGATAAGTAAAGCGTGCCAAAGTTCTAAAGAAAAGGCCCGTGATCAGTGAGTGCGTAAAAGTGCAGCACTTTGTGACATCGCGCGGAACTTCAACGCACTATAACTTTGTAATTATTTGTTTGATTGACAATTAAACATATACGTGTCCAATATTTTTTTATACTAAAATTGACGGACTAATTATTTTTTTTAGGAAACTAGCCTATTGCCAAGTTTCATGATGATACAAGAATTAGAAGTGCGTGTAATTCAGATTCTTAGATACTATTACATAGTTAGCACAAAATATTAGTTACATACACGACGACCTAAAAAAGCGTGTTAAAAATTGTTGAACATTTTGGATACTGCGCCAGCTAATCTCAAACTTAGCAAAGCTTGTACAGTCAGCGTCAAATAGATCGTGACACCCAAAGTAGCCAAAAAGTTCGCAACACGTCTTTGTTACAATTGGAATAAGGTTGTGTTGAGGACCTACCAAGGCCTTTGTCCAGCAGTGGACGTCTTTCGGCTGAAACGAACGAACGAACGAAGTACCTACCAACTTTTTGGCCACTTTGGGTGTCACGAACAATTTGACGCTGAGTGTACTTACTCGTATTTACTTACCCAATCTTCAATGTAAAGACATCAAAATATGATTTTGGTCGTTGAAAGTCTTTAGGGAAACAACTAATAGGTAACGAGTAGCTATAGAAATAACGTTTTTATCACTATTTATGCGTATACACTTTTGAGTACCACTATAATATTATAAGAACCACTGATTATATTATACGATGTATATGTAACACTGATAAATAGGTGTATATTATTATGAAAGGACTATTTTTATATTGTAGGTGTGCTTGGGAAGTGCCAGCTTTAGTAGACTAGCCTGTCCTCAGCTGGGAGCAAGTGCTCAAAACGCCTGCCCACTCGATGGATGCAAAGGAACGCCCGCCTCCGAATAATATCTTTCAAATTGGGCAGAACTTCTTCATCCTTCCTCAATTCGTCGAAAGCCTCCTTGATTTTCTCGCGCAATTCCGCCTCGTTAGCAGGCTCATATCCGTTGGCATATACATAGGCCTTAACGCGAGGCCAGAGGAAAAAGTCCACTGGAGTCAGGTCATGCGACCGCTGAGGCCACGGGTTGGGAGCCATGCGGCCTATCCACCTCATCCCGTACTCTTTCTCAAGGATGTGCCTGGATCCCTTCAGGAAATACGGCCCCGCACCAGGATTCTGGAAGTAGATGTCCTTTGTGCACCCCAAAGGGATATCCTCGTCTTCCATCCATTCAGAGATCTTCTTCTGCAGAGTATACCTGATAAAATCTTCGTAGGTATGCTCAGTCATGTTTCTCTCGAAAAAAACTGGACCGATGATGTATCGGCCAATGATAGCGCCCCACACGTTCTGTGTGATGAAGTCTTCAGGCGGATTATCCATGGAAGGGTAAGGTACTTCACGAGTTTCATTCTTAGTGAAGTTCTTTTCGCCTGTCCAAAGGATGTTCTTATCAAGATTCCGTATGAGCCATTGGCAGAACATCACCCGGGGCTGGCCTTCAACTGGGGTTATAATATCATCGTTATTACGCCTGAAATGGATTGGGTGCTGGAAATCGTCCATCAGGACGCGCCAGATTTGGACCTGGTTGCAGCCGATGCGTTTGGCCGCGCGTCGGGCGCTGCCTCTTGGATTTAGTTGGAAATAGTCGCATATGTCATCTTGCAAATCCATGTCAGGGTAGTCTTGTTGGAATAACGTGGCAAATTCTTCTTCCTGACGTACAGTGCCGTGCTGGCGTAGCCTAATAGTTGCGTTCTCCATCGTGAGCGGAGATACGCGAATTTGGAACTTCTCGTGGAACCTTTCGCACGCCGTTTCGACGTTGTCGCCGCACAAAGCTAGCATGCGTATCATTTCGCAATACTGGTCATTGGTATAAATGAACTCCATTTTTCTGGTTTACAGAACACCTGTTTCTGCGACCGGAGCGAAACGAGCACTGAATAATCAATCATCTACAGACAGGGGAAGGGGTGGGGTGGCCACCCCTCGCGCGTAGGGTTGCCCGTGGGTGGTTGTCGATAGAAGTTTCTAGACGATTTATTTATAGCTACAAATTGCAGGGGTGTTTGAAGTGTTATCAATGACATCGATGTGCACGAAAATTATGTGCTTGGAACATGAAAATAGTATTAGAGGACATAATTATTGATAGTATCAGTACCACAGATATGGATAGAATACCATGATCCATATTTGTGATCAGTACTATTGTATTGTACAGCTTTGACTAATTACAATCGACAGCATAAATACCAATAATATGCTTTTGCATGTTTTGGACTATCATAAAAGGCATTTATTTTATTCTTTCATAGTTTTTATCATTGCGTATCTAGGGTAATTTTTCAGGAGCGGCCTGGTCCCTAACATGCCATAGATGATCACTGGGGCGATAGCGACGCCTATGGTTTTTATTGCTCCATCGACTGAATAATCTTACTGCACATACGCCCGTATTCACAAACATTACTATGAGGTCTCATAGTGCTCGTGGACGCACAGGGTCACAATCACAGTGCTCTATTCACCGCTGTGCGTTCGATTTGCTGCTTTACTTAAGTGAATTTTTCAATTTGTTGCTTGAGCAATAATCGTTTGTGAATACGGGTGTTAGGTATTAGATATTAGAAAATTAGTCATCACTTCATTACGAATGACACTTTTTTATATTCTGATATGCGAGCACGTAGAATTTTGTCCAATGACCCTAGCTTGGGGTCATTGGACAAAATTCTACGTGCTCCCGGACCAGACTATAGCTTGAGGGTTTTTCAGGATTTTTATCGACATTCAAACTATCGACATATCGATAACACTAGCACACGTGCATCCCTCTCGGTCATTAACGAGATCTCCGCGATCGAAAAGGATAAACAACAAATTAAAATCTCGGACATTTGATAGCACATGGGGCTACACGTTAACGTTGAAATATCGCTCTTATTGCAAGTGAATAAGAGGCAATAGGGTATAAATAAATTGATGTGCGTTCGGTAGATAGTATAGATAGTATGCGCGGATGCAGTTTTGCGATTGTATTGATTTCAATGACCTATAACATCTATGTAGTGTATGTCCTAGATATCCTACATACATAATAATATGTGTAGATATAATAAAGGTGATGCTGGACTGGCTATCCAGGGACAAAATTGGCCTTTACTGATTGGGTTTTTATTGGCGATCAAACTAGTAGATACAGAACCACAATGTCGCGGGTTCGAATCCCGCGCATTTGTGTACAAGAACATTTATGTTTGCTTTAGGCTGTGTTTTGTATGTACAGTCGCGGAATGAAAAGGTTCGTCAGTTTTCAAATTGATTCCTTCAACGAATCGCGAGCACATATTACCTTTTGAACCTATGTTACAGAATAATCTCGAGTTAGAAAAAATAATCTTTAACTGTTCGTCAGTAAAGTTCAAAATTATTCAGATCAAAGTTGTATGACGATTTATCTTGTCAAGAAGATTACTTATTATGATTGATAAACTAAAACCTTCTTGTTGGTTCAACCTGCCATTATTATTTCTATTAAATAAAAAAAACTATTGTCAATTGATCAATGTCATCATTGCATTGCACTGATGGGATAGAAAAATAAACAAGCAAAACCTTATTCGTTAGCAAACGTCATATTTATTTAAATGTTAGCAGCACTGTTTCTTGCACTGTTATGTTGGCAGGTTTGACTCTTACAGTACCTAGTGCAAGCGAAAACCGACACTAAGGTGACGAACCTTTTCATTCTCCGACTGTACGAGTATAATATTAGTTTATTTAGGGCCGATTTTTCTATCGTCAGATAACTTTTAACTGAAGAATAAACTTGTCATTTTGACATATTTTCTATACTGAAACTGTCAATGTGCCAAACTTATTCTGCAGTTAAAATTTATCCGACGATTGAAAAATCAGCCCTTACATAAATAAAAGTATGTAATATCCGTACTAGCTGTGCCCGCGACTTCGTACGCGTGAAAATAGTTTGAATATTTTTTTATCGTTTTCGCAACATTTTTCATTGTTGCTTCGGTTTGATATATCAAAATTACGCCACAACCAAGACTTTAGTCTTCTAAATTAATTTCTAACTCAAAGGTGACTGACTGACTGACTGACATAGTGATCACAAACCACTAGACGGATCGGGATGTTTGGCATGCAGGTCAGGTAGATGTTATGGACGTAGGCATCCGCTAAGAAAGGATTTTACGAAACTCAACCCCTAAGGGGGTAAAACGGGATCCACGCGTACGAAGTCGCGGGCGGCCGCTAATCTATCTATATATATAAAAATGAAACCCGTTTCGCGTTGTCACGGCATGACGTGTGAACGGCTGAACCGATTTCGATAATTCTTTTTTTTTAAAGTTTGTGGAAGCCCAAGGATGGTTCTTACGGAAAAAAATATTAAGAAAATCTCTACGCTAAGGCGGTACGAAGTTCGCCGGGTCAGCTAGTCTTCAATAAATAAAGAAGTTAACCAACACAAAAATATTTTTTTCAAATCGGACCAGTTGTTCCTGAGTTTAGCGACAAGCTTTATTAATGTTTGTGCTATGCTCGCAGTTTCCCTGCGTGATCGAATCAGAAATGAGGATATCCGCAGGAGAACCAAAGTGACTGACAGAGCCCGCAAAATCGCTAAAATCAAGTGGCAGTGGGCGGGGCACATAGCTCGCAGAGCTGATGGCCGCTGGGGCAGAAAAGTTCTCGAGTGGCGACCATGAGCCGGAAGACAGTGTGGGCAGGCCTCCCACTGGGTGGACCGACGATCTGGTGAAGGTCGCGGGAAGTGCCTGGATGCGGGCGGCGCAGGACCAGTCTTTGTGGAAAACCTTGGGGGAGGCCTTTGTTCCGCAGTGGACGTCATTTGGCTGAAACGACGAAGGTACAATACATACATAGTTTTTGGTGTAGCAGTGAGTTGTATATCTTGCTAGGGCTTGTGGGGGGAGTGAGAACTGAATGGAGGGGCAGGTCAGGTTCACTCGGTGTCTGCACTCGCGTTATCTTTGATTCTGGAACAAAAATGTGTTTTAACATTGTTTTTAAATGGCAATCTGTATTGATAGATTATTTAGTCAGTAGTTATGGTACAATTAGAACTTTAATGTTCTTTGAAGCACAGAATCACACAAATATTATGTACTAGCACAGACTGATAATAATATAATACTAGTCTAGCCTGCGGCTTCACTCGCATGAAATTTAGTTTGTCACAGATCGTCATAAATTATAGCCTATACCTATTAATATGTTATTCTGTGTTATAAACAATAATACTGTAAAGTCTCATCAAAATCCGTTCAGTAGTTTTTGCGTGAAAGAGTAACAAACATCCAGACATCCAAACTTTCGCATTTATAATATTAGTAAGATATCAGTTTTAAAGCCATTTTAATTTGTACACAAAGTAAAGTGAATGCCTAAGTTAAGCATTCTCTGCCAGTCAACCTTCTGGCTAAGCAGAAAAAGAATCATTTAATTTTCTTCTTTCTGTCTGCGAAAATGTTTGGATATTTATTGAACAAGGACATCATCCATTTTGGTCCAAAATCAAAAGTGCCGGCCAAAAAATAAAAGTGCTGTATTCTGATAGAATACGTCCGCCTTAGCATTTATTACTATGGCACCAAAGCTGTAGCACCACTGTGCATCGTGGTATTTGAGTTCTAAAAATATATGAAACGACTGACTTTGATCTCAAATAGGTACTACGACGCACAGTGGTGCTACAGCTTTGGTGTCATAGTAACAAATGCTAAGGCGGACGTATTCTGTCAGGATACAGCACTTTTTTTTCTATTGGCCGACACTTTTCATTTTGAACAAAAAATGTATGAATAGTCGATGACTTTTAGATCTCAAATACTCGACGCACAGTGGAGCTACGGCTTTGGTGCCATAGTAACAAATGCTAAGGCAGACGTATTCTGTCAGAATATAGCACTTTTTTTTGTTGGCCGGCACTTTTGATTTTGGACCAAAAATATATGAAACGTGGATGATGTCCTTTGACACATCTAAGACTCACTCATTTGAGTGTTTGTTATTTTGATCTGAAACATCCTTAACATAAACTTACCATCATCAGATTCGGGTGCTTCTCCAGCGATAACAAACCCAGCTGTATTTGTTGGTATTTCTAATTCCTGCAAAATATCACACTATTAATACTTTTTGGCCACTAGCTCTATATTTAAGTGAAAGAAACTGGACTCAAGTCTCAAACTGGACATTTTATTATGTAGCGGGTCCATTAGAAGTCTATGTAGTTAATTATTTATTAATAGGGTATCAACATGAGTTAAAGTTACAAACAATAGTGACTGAGTTTGTTGCGCTGCTTCTTCTCAGCACTGGCCCATATTACTGTCCCAAAGCAGAGGTAGGGTTGTGTAAAAGTGCTCTTTGAGAGCCTACTTACGGAAAATGTTTGAGATTATTATCAAGTTTACACCAAAACACGACACAAAAGAGCTTTATGCTAGCAGCTCCCAAAAAACGAACATTACAGCTAAAATCTTGGTTAGAGGACCTAAGAAGTTTCACTAAGATATTATGAAATGTATTTTAAGTTGATCCTTAACTTCTACCTTCACTTATTTACTTTTAATTTCGTTTTGGGTCCTTACATTAACTTTTCGAACAAATTTTGGCCTTCAAAAGTTGCGTTTTATTGGCGGTCAAGCTGTAGATCCTGGCTACACAGGAATTGCAGCGGTAAGAACAAGATGTGGGTTATTTATTATTAATATTTTCTGACGGAATTCTGGTTTTAAATAAGAAAATAAAGCCATAAACATTTGATGAAAAAAGTTTGTTTATTAAACTGGTACTTACGGGTGATTTTCCTACTTCAATTTCTGAATCCGATTCCGATGCCTCTCCATCCACTACGTGAGCAGTTTTAGACATTATCTATTGTTAATTAAGTGAATAAAACTTAGAATAATAGAGAAAATCTAACAAAATCGTAATCAAAACACGATTTGACAAATCAGCTGATCTGGTGACGTTGACACTTACTTGACAGTGACATGTGCGCTTAGTTTCAACATGAAGTGGTCGATTCTTTCAATGTAATTT